CATCATCAGAACTTTTGGGACCATCTCAGTACTTTTTTCTTTTTTTCATCTCAGTACTTTTGATGGGAAGAACCCTGGAGGTGGCGGAGTCCTGTTGGGCTCCATGGGGAAGGCTGATTCTGTCTGGGGCTTTCTGTTCTCTAGAAATGGCTGCATCTGGATCACTTCCCACAGAGCCCTTAGTCAACACAGCGCATGGAACATTCCCTGCACCCCTAACCCGTGACTGCATCCTCTCCTTCGCGCTTTGCCAGAAAGAAACTGTCATCACACCAATGCATTAATGGTGACCACGCGAGGACACACCAGGCCGGGTGGTGACACGAGCTTCCAGAGCACGAGGCCTGATGGGCGGGTCCTCCCAGAGCCGGGGGCCCGAAAGCCAGGCTGGGGGTGCCCCAGACCACCGGCCAGCTCTGAGACCCCGGTGGGCCGCCTCCTCTCTGATCAGAGACACCCAGTCAATCACTTCCCAGGAAGAGTCTTTTCACCTCTGACCTTTTATGAGCCCCCTCACCTTAAAATCAAGGGAATCACACATTTATAGGAGTCTATGAATATGTAATGTTCAGAATGGGGAAATCTACAGAGATAGAAGTAGACTGGTAGTTGCTTAGGGCTGGGAGGTGGGTTGATAAATGGTACAGGGTTTCTTTTCAGGGATGATGAAACTATTCTAAAATTGTTTGTGGTTACGATTGCCCAACTACATGCATATATTAAAAGCCACTGCATTGTATACTTTAAATGGGTGAATTTTATTTCAAGAAAAGAAAAGGGGAATTCCCAGGCGGTCCACGGGTTAGGACTCAGTGCTTTAGTTAAGACTGCCAGGTCAGGGGGTTCACTCCCTGGTCAGGAAACTACGCTCCCACAAGCCAAGCTGTGGGCCCAACAACAACAACAACAAACTATTAAAAAATCAAATGATGGAACTTCCCTGGTGGTCCAGTGGTTAAGACTCTGCACTTCCACTTCAAGGAAGGGGCTTGGGTCAATCCCTTTTGGGGAAATAAGGTCCTACATGCTGTGCAATGTGGCCAAAAAATTAAAAATTAGAAAATCAAATGAAATCAAAGAGAGGTTGGATGGCAAGAAAGGAAATTAACACTCACCAAACATACACCACATGCCAGTGCTTTTCTGATCATCCGATTTGATACTCACACACTGTCTAAGGTCCCATGGTAACACACAGGATGACTCGTGGCAGAACGGGGCTGGGAACGCAGGGGAGGAGCGGATGGCAAACCAAGGAGCACAGGGAGCTTAGATCAAGGACCTCCGAGGGCAGGAGCCCCCTGGTTAGAGAGACTGTGCGGCTTGGGCTAGGATAGACCTAGTGCACCTGCCTTGCAGGTAAATTAATAGTCCTCCCTTCTCTCCCTGTGGCTCAGACGGTAAAGCGTCTGCCTGCAATACGGGAGACCCAAGTTCGATTCCTGGGTCGGGAGATCCCCTGGAGAAGGAAATGGCAACCCACTCCAGTATTCTTGCCTGGAAAATTCCATGGACAGAGGAACCTGGTAGGCTGCAGTCCATGGGGTTGCAAAGAGTCAGACATGACTGAGCAACTGGACTGATGAATAAAACCACTATTGTGTCAACCTAAGGTTTCATTTCTCTTGTGTAAACACCTAAGAGTGGGATTGCTGGGTCATATATCTTGCGGTTTTTTTTGGTCTGTTTTTTTTAGCTTTAAAAGAAGTGAAACTCTTTTCCAAAGTGGTTTACCATTTTGTATTCTTTTTGTTGTTGTTCAGTTGCTAAGTTGTGTCTGACTCTTTTTGGCCCCATGGACTGCAGCAGGCCAGGCTCCCCTGTCCTGCACTATCTCCTGGAGCTTGCTCAAATTCATGACCATTGAGTCGGTGATGCTCTCTCACCATCTCATTCTCTGCCGCTGTCTTCTTTTGCCTTTTTAAATCTTTCCCAGCATCGGGGTCTTTGCCAATCCCTACCACTAATATATGAGAATATAGAGAAAGTGCAAGTCTCTCAGTCGTGTCTGACTCTTTGTGACCCCATGGCCTATCCAGTCCATGGAATTCTCCAGGCCAGAATACAGGAGTGGGTAGCCTTTCCCTTCCCCAGGGACTCTTCCCAACCCAGGAATCGAACCAGGGTCTCTTGCATTGCTGTTGTATTCTTTACCAACTGAGCTACCCGTTAAGCCCTATGTGAATATATCCCTACCACTAACGTGTGAGAATCCCAGTTGCTCTGCATCCTTGTCAACATACAGTATTGTCAACTTAAAAAAAATTTTTTTTAGCAGTTTTAATAGGTGGGTAGTGATATCACTTTGCAGTTTTAGTTGGCAATTTCCTAATGACTAAAGATGCTAGGCATCTTTTCATATGCTTTTCTGCCATCCATATAGCTTATTTAGTGAAATGTCTTGTTCAAATCTTTTGTCCATTTTGAAACTAGATTATCTGCTTATTTTTTATTATTGAGTTTATAGATTCTTTGTATTTTCTGGATACAAATCTTTTATGTGTGATGGGCAAATATTGGGCTGGCCAAAAAGTTTATTCAGGTTTTTCTATAAGATGGTATGGAAAAAAAAAAAAGATGGTATGGAAAAATCTAAATGAACTTTTTTTGCCAACCGAATATTTTCTATATTGGGAAATGTAGCAACCCAATGTTTTGCTATAGGGAACAGTATACAGAGATAACTGATAAAACTTTATGATGTTTATCAGTAATCTAAGGATGATGTGGCCACAGGTATTTTTATCTCAAATGGTTTAGAAAAAAATAAAACTTCTTTATACCACACTTGCAATTTTTCTGTAAGTTTGATATTGTTTCAAATTTCTAAAAATTATTTTTTAAGCTTACATCAAATATCCACACATTTCTGTTTCTTAAAATTGTAGAGTCAGAGGGTTTTATAATTCCTTTAATAAGTATTTAGACTATATTATTAAGAATTCAGATTAAACTACTTCATGTGAAAGCCCCAGCTTGAAATAATTTTTATTTATGCAAAATCCATCTATTGGCAAAGACAGAATTTCACTCCTATTTCTTTTCTGTATTTTTACACATCACCTGCATTACTTGGTTGAAATATTAAGATCTCTTTCCCATTGTAAATTATAGAAATCTCACAAGGATTTTTAAATCAGCTTTTAAATATATTGAACATTGGCCAACTTCTATCTTGCTGTTGATGTTTAGTCACTAAGTCATGTCCGACTCTTTGCAACGCCCTGGACTGTAGCCCACCAGGCTCCTCTCTCTGTCCATGGAATTCTCCAGACAAGAATATTGGAGTGGGTAGCCATTCCCTTCTCTAGATCTTCCTGACTCAGGGACTGAACCTCTGTCTCCTGCATTGCAGGCAGATTCTTTACCATCTAAGCCATTACTTAAAACTGTGATGAAGAAGCTGATAGTCTTTTTATTATTATTATTATTTGATGTGGATCATTTTGAAAGTCTTTACTGAACTTGTTATAATACTGTTTTTGTTTTATGTTTTGGTTTTTTGGCAGCACTTCCCGACCAGGGATCAAACCCAGAGCCCCTACAGTGGAAGCTGAAGTGTCAACTATTAGACTGCCAGTGAAGTCCCAAGAAACTGATATTCTTGGCCATCATCTTTCTGAGTCAATTAATTCAAATACTGCTTAAAAACAAGACTACCTCTCATTTGGCAGAGTTGTGTCTTCCAATGGAAGTAGGTACACCAAAAGGCAAATTCAAGTATGGTCAACACTGTTGGAGGAAGCATAAACACCTTTCCCAGAAGGAACATTTTTCTTCTATGATTTCTTTAATGTTTTAAGAGAGAGGCTTTCGAGCTCTTAATATGCATGTGCAACTTTGCCGACACTGCACACATTTTCAGGTAAGTAGTTCTGAAATGTGTCAACCACCCTTGGCAGGCTCTGTGTTGTCTATCACCAGTCCATCCCCTCTTTGGTGGTGGTTTCCCTTTTGTCTTAGAATTCTGCCATTGACAGATACGTCCTTAGAGTTCATGTCTTCCAGCCACAACTTTAACATTTTTCAGCCTCTCTAAAGCCTTCTCTTGGCTGGTCTCTTAGTAATCACTGGGGCCCTCAACGCCACAGTTTGGTGACTCTCGTGTCGATGACATGAATTCTGGATTCATCGTGACCTTGCTGTGATCTCTTGCTAAGCCCCTCAGAGCCAGTTTTCCCTGCAGTGTTGACATGGGTCATTGTTTCCACCAGTAATTATCCAATGATGTAGTGAGAGGCCATAATGTATGAAAAATACACATTTTAAAATAATATAATCAGACTTGATGTTGTGAGATGCTCACACTGACAGCCACCAGAGATGAGCCCACTTAAAGGACTGGCATATTCCAGCATCTTATGCTCGCATCCAATCTGTAATTACACCACAATAATCTCTGAGAGGACTATGATGCCAAAACTTTAACAGAGAATAAAATAATTCGCAGAATGAAACTAGCTGGAACTCAAAAAAGATCTTATCAATGGGTATCAATGGTAGTAATTTTAAAAAATGAATCTTTTGTAATTTTTAAAAATGAATGTTTTATAATTATTGCCTGCTTGCACCCTTAACAACAAATGGAGGCAGGAGCTTTGTCTTTTATACTTTATGCTTTAGAACACATCATGCGTTAATAGCACATCAAAACTAATGAACCATGATTATAAGCTAATTTTGTGGTTTCTCACCTTGAGATCATTGAGGGGGAAAAAAAAATCACTGCATTCTAATAAAGCTAAAAATCCTAGACAATGAGAGCTAGTACCACAGAGTTTAAACCCCCACAGCCAATACAGTGATTGAAATTCAAAGCACTGGGTATGTTCATTTAGATCACAGATTTTACAGCGTGCTTAACTTTTGCTTTTTTAAAACTGGAGATGTAAACTAAAACAACTCTCAAATCTCACAACTTTCCCAGAAATCTTTGATTTCCCAGAAATCTTTCTCTCCTTTTCAGTGTTATATTTTACTAATGAAAAGCAAACATCATCTTCCTGTTTCCCGTCATGGCGCAGGATCAAGGTGAGAAGAACCCCATGCGGGAACTTCGCATCCGCAAGCTCTGCCTCAACATCTGCGTCGGGGAGAGCGGAGACAGGCTGGCCCGGGCGGCCAAGGTGCTGGAGCAGCTCACGGGACAGACCCCAGTGTTCTCCAAAGCTAGATACACTGTCAGATCCTTCGGCATCAGGAGAAATGAAAAGATTTCCGTCCACTGCACTGTCCGTGGGGCCAGGGCAGAAGAAATCTTGGAGAAAGGTCTAAAGGTGCGAGAGTACGAGTTGAGAAAAAATAACTTCTCAGATACTGGAAACTTTGGCTTTGGGATCCAAGAACACATCGACCTGGGGATCAAGTATGATCCAAGCATTGGTATCTATGGCCTGGACTTCTACGTGGTGCTGGGTAGGCCAGGTTTCAGCATCGCAGACAAGAAGCGCAGGACATGCTGCATTGGGGCCAAACACAGAATCAGCAAAGAGGAGGCCATGCGCTGGTTCCAGCAGAAGTATGATGGGATCATCCTTCCTGGCAAATAAATTCCCGTTTCTATCCAAAAGGCCAATAAAACATTTTCAATGAAATAGAAAAAAAAAAAAGAAAAGAAAAGCAAACATCAAAACCAGACTGCCTCCTATTTTGGTAAATAAAGTTTTACCGGAACACAGCCACGCTCATTGGCTTACATCTTGTCCACTGACTGCTTTTCCAAAAAGGCAGGATTGCAGGTGACAGAGACCACATGCCCTCAGAGCTGGAAATATTTATTTATTGGAAATATCTATTATCTGACCCCTTACAAAAAAAAAGTTTGCCCATCCCTGTTCTAGACTTCATTTCCACCACTTATAATTTTCATCATTTGGAATGGCACCTACTCCATTTATCAAGACTCTGAAATCTTGAAACAGATGCCTGCTTTGCTTTTTAAGCTGTTTCCGATGTTCCTTTCCAAAGGTTTATTTGTTCAGATCCCTGAAGCCTTGATGTTAATTAGCAAGTTCCTAAAGTGCCAACTTCCCTCAGGTCTACAATAAATGGAAACTGCAAACCCAAGTGTACCTATTCACCATTCAACAGAAATGTACTGAAGTGGTCAAGAGGTACAAACTCCCAGTTATAAGATAAATAAGTTCTGAGGATGTAACAGACAGCTTGGTAACAAGTTAATAATGTGTGCATGTGTGCTCGGTCGTGTCTGACTCTTTGAGACCCCATGGACTATAACCGCCAGGTTCCTCTGTCCATGCGATTTGCCAGGCAAGAATACAGGAGTGGGTTGCCATTTGCTTCTACAGGGGTTCTGCCTGACCCAAGCATCGAACACACATCTACTGCGTCTCCTGCATCAGCAGGTGAATTTTTTACCACTGAGCCACCTGGGAAGCCCATAGCTAACAATACTGTACTGTGTATTCGAAAGTTGCTTAGAGAATCGATCTTAACAGGAGAAAAACAAATTGTAACTATGTGATGTGATGGATGTTCACCAGTCATTTCACAATACATACATATGTCAAATCACTGTTTTACTCCTAAAACTAATACAATGTTATATGTCAATTATATCTCAACCTGGGGAAAATATTCTAAAAAAAGAATAACAACAAATTTCAAGACAACAAGGACTCTTCTGGAAGGACCAAGGAGTACAGAAAAGAACTAGAAATGTAACATATTTTCAATGTTAAAAAATGAAAAAAAGAATTAGTTAAAATTAAATGCTTAACAAATAGTCAAGTACTTCAGCTTGGCCAAACAAGTCCCTAAAATTTTAAAAAATGTAATGCACACCTGCTGTGTGAAAACATATACTGCTGACAGGAAGGACAAATGAATAAAATCCACACCCTGTGCTCTGGAGTGAGACAGACTAGCAAAGACACAGCAGAATAGCAGGTAATAAAGGCAAAATGGGAGCCAGATGCTCCTGAAATGGTCCACGCTGCTGTCAACAATGTCAGGGGTGAGAATGAAGGCATGTGAGCAAGTTCTGAAGCCTGAGAAAAAGTGAAGAAACCATCCAGGCTGCAGGTGTAGGCAAAGACCCAGAGCTCTGGGCAGCAAACATCGGGGCTAAATAACAGGAAGGCAGGAAGAACAGGGACCCACTCCAAATGAACTGACACCTGCAGTTGCCTGGCGCCAAGCCCTGTGTCCACTGAAGGCGAGGTGGCCAGTCACGCAGACCAAACCTTCCTCTCCAAATGTAAGAAGAGAGAAGAGCCTGCTCAGTTCTTCACTTGCAGCTGTGAGCAATACCGTTTCCCAATTCCCAATCTTATATCTGCATATCTGTTTGCTTCAAATTACCAGCAGGAAACTAAATGGTGACATTTTTGGCCCAGCAATTCCACTCCTTGGTACATACTCAAGAGTTGAAAACAAATGTCCACACACACACACACAACATGAACATGGATGTTCACTGCAGTATTCATAATAGCCAAATAGTGGGGAAAAAAATTCATCATTTGACAGAAAATGAAAATGTGGTATACCCATACAATGGATTACTAGTCAGCCATAAGAAGGAATGAATGAATGAATGAAGCCAGATCTCAGAGATCCTTTGATGATTCTGTGCTTAGGAATGATCTGGAACAAGAACTATTTGGAATGTCAGAGACATAGGGACAGAATGCATATTGGTAGTGTCCATGGCTGGGGTGGGAAAGGGGAACGATTGTCTTAATGGCTAACGGCATTTCTTTTGGGGTGATGAAAATGTTCTGGAATTAGTGGTGATGGCTGCACAACTCTGAATAAACAAAAATCACTGAACTATAGGGGCTTTCCAGGTGGCGCTAGTGATAAAGAACCTGTGTAGGAGGCTAAGAGCCATGGGTTCAATTCTTGGNAGTCCCGGGTGTTCATTGGAGGGTCTGATGTTGAAGCTGAAACTCCAATACTTTGGCCACCTGATGCAAAGGGCTGACTCACCTGAAAACACCCTGATGCTGAGAAAGATTGAGGGCAGAAGGAGAACGGGACGACAGAGGATGAGATGGTTGGATGGCATCACCGAGACTCAATGGACATGAGTTTGGGTGGGCTCCGGGAATTGGTGTTGGGCAGGGAGGCCTGGCATGCTGCAGCTCATGGGGTCGCAAAGAGTCGGACACGACTGAGTGACTGAACTGAACGTCTAAATCATAACCGTGGCGGAGTGGAGTTCAGGACCAGAGACTCTTCTTCCGGCCTCTGGGATTGGTCTTCCGGCCTCTGGGATTGGTTTTCTGGTCTCAAGCAGGCTGCGGGTGGCCGCCCCACTAGCCACACCCACGACAAAGCCCACGTCGCGCGGCACTCGTCAACGCGCGCGACAGTAGGCTAGGGGTCGGGACGCCTCCGCCGGGGAGCCGGCCGCAGTTACCAGGCAACAGCGGCTAACCCGCCCCACCACCTAACCAATCACGCACTTAAGCACGCAGCGCAATATCCCCGCGTACTACCGCTGGAGCGTGACCTGCGGCACACCGGGCCTTAGCGTCCAGAGCCTGCAGCACCCGCCCCCACCGCCACCGCTCAGCCAATCAGAAGGGAGAGGGATGCGCGTTCCGTGCGTGCGACCGTTGCCCCGCGCCGGGGCTTCCCCGCCCCACCCCCACTCCTTGGGCCCTGCCCGCCGGGAACCGGTTCGGGGGGCCAGCCGGGCCGCCTGAGGAGGGGGCGCTCGCAGCGCGAGTCTGGGCGGGCAGCCTCCTCAGGCTTCCCCTCCGCCAGGTCTGCGGGACGAGAAAGTTCCAAGCAAAGCACCCGCTCTTAATGGCGGCTGCGGCGGGGGCGGGATACGCACCTGAGGTCCCCGCCGGCGGGCAGCGCCCGGCCGGCCGCCGGGTCCGAGGGCTGGGCCACCTGGGAGTGCCTGGGGGCCGAGCGCGGCCTGCCAAGACCGTCTGGAGACGAGGGCGCGGCGTTGTGGGCTGCGGCCGAAGCCCTGCTCTCCACTATCCCTCCTTTTTCTTTTCTTTCTTTTCCTTTTTTTTTTTTTTTTGGCTTCCTGGAAGGCAGCCTGGACTCGTGTGTCCGCAGCGCCCCAAGTGGGAGTTGCCGTTTCCGGTGCCGTGGAATCCGCTTCAGCTGCACATTGAGCTTGTTGGAAGTCCCTTAGCCCCGCGCTGTTCAGGGCCAGACGTGCTTGTCCATCTCCTGCCTTTGATGAGTGGCTGCACGTGTCTGGTCTCACCCCCACCGACACCGCCCCCAAACGTGGACGTCCTTTCTTGCTCTTATTTTACACTTTTTAGCATGATTGCAGTTTGTAGCTTTAAGCGGTGAGGTCACAGCTCCAGCGACCGGTGAATTTGCCTTAAAGCCATTGAGTTATGTTGTAATACTGTAACAGTTGTGTCCTGACCTTTTGATCGGACTCAGTGACATTACTAAGGAGTTGAGAGCTGTCCTTCTGATGGTGCTGGTTCTCCAGCAAATAGTCAAGTATTACTTCAGTGCTGTTTAATCAAAGTCCAAATATTTTAAATATGCCAGGAGGAGAGTTGCTGCTGTTAGTCGCTAAGTCGTGTCCGACTCTTACCGTGGACTGCAAAAGAATTGGGTAATAGAAACCGTTTACCCATTGCTCAGATTTACGTAGCATGCTTTATTTTAAAGGGCTATTTAGACACAATTGAAGACACTGTTCTCATTTCTTTTTCTTTACTGTCTCGGAGTTCTAATACGTATTTTCTTTTGCAGAAAGGCAAGTGTCCCAGATTCTCTGACTGTTTTTTGTGTGTGTGAGTGGCTAACAAGGTTATGCTTCCTAGGAGATGCTATTTAAAAAAGCTGCCCTTCCAAGGTAAAGATAACGAGCGATTAGCTGAGATGGTACCTGCTTCATGATATTTTTAAAAGTGGTGTTTGAAAATCCTCGTGGTATGTTTTAGTTGATTCTTCGTTATTCAGAAGAGTGGCCTGTAAAGTCTTAGCAAACAGGGTTCTGCGAGCCTCTTCACGTTTTTGTGGAACTATTAAACGGACATTTTTTTTATGTGTGTGTCTGTTTAAAGACACCGTATTTAATGTGTTTTGTAGATTTGTTAGTTGAACTCATGGCCAACAGTGCTGTAACTTGTGTGTGAAGGAAGCTTGGCTAACACAAAGTGTTTTCTACCTAACGTTGCAGTGTTCAGTGCTTACAGTTTGAGGACCATTTTAAATAGCAAAATCATCAAAAACAAAAACAAAACCCAACCCCCCAAAATGTGGAAAGTGTGGCATTAAATAGACCAGAAAAAGGACACGTTTATGGTGTAAGAGCTGGTACCACCCTATTCTACCTCAGCCTGGAACATGTGTGGCAGGCAAAAAAACTTTTTTTTTTTGCCACTCTACTCTGTCTGGAAATGATTGGGGAAAGTAGGGTGAGTAATGCTTTTAAATTTACCTGTGAGTTGTAATGAGCAGGTGAAATCCCAAATCTGGAGCTAGTGAATAATAATGATGAATTTAAAACTTAACCTGTATATCAAGAGCTTCAGGCTTCCCTGCTGGCTCAGCGATAAAGAATCTGCCTGCAATGCAGGAGATGTGGGTTCAGTCCCTGGATTGGGAAGATCCCCTGGAGAAGGAAATGGCAACCC